AGTGTAGGTAGGTATCACCAGGCAGGATGGTCAGAAAAGTACTCATATAGAAGAGCTACCCCCAAATGGTGCCACACTTGAAAAGTTAGCCCAGCTGAGGTTGTTAAGCACTGCAGAAGGTAAGATAGAGCTCTCATTCAACGTTCTGCCATAGCTACCGAGTCATTTCTGCCAAAGTTTTTCCAAATGATGCAACACAGAGGACTGAACCAGAACTATCAAGCCATGGGTGTAATTCAGGCTTGCTGAAGGATCCCGTGGCTGAACTCAGACTGGAGCACTCATATCCTTTTAAGTCCCTAGTCATCCCATCTTCTCCAAATCCCCCCTACAAAAAAAAAAAAGAAAAGAAGTTTAATGAGTGGCTATTAAGTTATCTTAGATCATTTACCAGTTCAGCTCTGAGAAACTTCTCTGTAGTTATACTGAAGATTAATATACACTCCTACATGCAAAACAATGAAACCTGTAAGTTATTAGGCAAAAAGCATATGATCACTTCGACGTATCTCTCAAATATACCACAAAAATCTGCTTCCTTCTATTCAGTTGTCCCCATGACACTGTGGAAGACTGCTCATCCCTTGTGCAAGGCACTACAAGATCCTCAGCTGTGTGCTTATGGAATTACTAAAGGTTCAGCATTACTTCCTTCTGCATAAATTGGTTTTGCACAAGCTGTAGGAGCAAGAAAAGAAGTAACCCTTGCCTGCAGTTGCTCTTGCCTTCACACGTTCTTATTTAAGAATTTATTCCAACAATTTGTGGAAAGGGAAGCAAGAAAACATGGCTACGAACTCGCCAGTTATTGCAAACACCTTCTCACCGTATAGCTGCTGCTACAAAAAGCCAGTTTGCATTGCTGCCCTAATACTCTGGAAATCTTAACCTCATGCCTCTGTCCATCACCTCATACACACACCACCCACGAATGAAAGAAACTTGGTGTGAATTTGCCCCATAAGGAATGACAATACACGTATTTCTGTATCCCTCCGTACATGCATATATATTCACAGATCCATAAATGTCACTTACCAGTTAGCACTTGTGCAGTAAACATCCATACTGAGAATTACTGAGTACTGAGCATTCTGGAATCATTACAAAATTTGTGGCTCTCACACGGGACCCATAGGCCGGTAGCCTGGTCACTGTTGCTTGTAGTGTGTTAGCTAGACCAGCTAGGTCAGAAGAGTCTCTCCCTAACATCTCAAAGTTGTGATGGAACAGGTCATCTTAATTTCAAAAATTACATATTTCATAGCCTCTACTTCTGCCTCTCGCAGCTGATGATAGTCTTTTCTCAATTCACACCATTATAGACTGTACAGAATGCATGAATGACATATTAAAACTGTATCCTTCTGCCTTTATGGAGAATAAACATATGTTTTCTATTCACGGTCATTCCTAGCACAAAGCAGAAATCTTCTCTCTCAGCTAGTGCTACCACTGGCCCCAATGAACAATTCTAAAAGCAGCAGTTACACAACTAACAAATGGGACTTGCTGTTCATTAAGGCTTGTAATGAGATATTTTCTCCCATTATTTGCAGAAATCCACTGACAGAACTGTATTTGCATTTGTCAATGCTCAGTGAACTACTAACAGTCAATTGTATGTCATTTAGCTTTACTTTTCAATAAAAATAGCCTGAAGGATGTTCAGTACAGACAGAACATATCCAGAGCAGACTGCAAAGTTACCTGTTATCCTGCAAAAGTTATAGCAATCTATATTTTGTTATAGCTACACATCATTTGATATGCTACTACCAAACATTGTACCATTTGATATTATACTTGGAGCAAAGATACTCCAGACACTTCATCATACCTTTATAAGCAACATGTATATGCTTTGGTTAGAAGAGAACGTTAGTATAATCTTCCAAAAAAAGAAAAAAAAACAAGACCAAGGAGTATAGTTTGTAAACCTGTCCTTTTGGAACTCACCTGGTAAGGTTGGGCACACCTAAACCATGAAATTCTGACTGCTCTGCAGCGTTGCACTAAATTACAGCATATTCTCTTCTGGAGAGGAAAGTGAGGTATTTGCACTGTGTACTTCACCTAATGATAATCCAGTTCACCTAACTTCAGAAGCCCAAATCCCTTATTCTTAGGAAGTTAAATGGAGAAGTCTTCTGATTAGGAAGTTAAGGAGAAAATTAATTTCCCAAGCTTAATGGGCAAGTACTTCTGAAGGGTATTTCAGGATAGGTATCTTAGACACTTAATGCTGTACATTTATGAATACTGTATTCTTCTTCAGCAAATACCATTTCAAAGAAGTCACAGAAACGTATACAAAGTTGTATTCGTAACTGCTGTTCTCCCAACTCCCCCTCACTAATCAGTAAATCACTGCTCTACAAGAGGATTTGATCCCAAAGTACAACACAATTATGATGTCTAACCAAAATTTCCTAAGTATCTGCCACAAACTACTTATAACACAAAACCCATAGTGTTGCACTTAACACGCAAGCAGTAAAGATCCCTAAGGTGCACAGGTACGTCATTTCTGCTTTTATATTCATCACTCGCAATCTGAGGCCAGGTCTTCACAGGAAACTCAAAATTCTTGGCTGTCACTTCTTAGTCCAGGACTGTCAATGTAGTAGCAATGCAAAATCCCGTTCAATTTTTCTTAAGACAGGCCATGATCAAGGTATTATCCACATCCTTACCTCTAGCCACCATACTAGCTCATCCAGCATCTGAAACATTACTGCAAGCCTCAAAGAGAGACCTATACTTCAGTACATTACTTGGTTAGACACAGAGGATCCTTCTCAATCCACACCTCCGTGCTACATGTTTAGGTCCTTGATAGCACAGTCCTCTAACACAATAATCAAATCACTGTTACTTCTCTCTATAACACATTTCCCAAAGTCAAACATAAATACTGATGAAGAAAAAAAAAGGAATGATACATACAGAATGAGGAATGGAGGGAGCAGAGTCACTTTACAAATAAGAGTTTGATAAAAGTCATCAAAAATGCAGTTTATAATCTGCTTGGTATCAACATTTCTATTGGTTTTCTTTTTGGAGTACATGTGCTTGTTAATCATGACAGATACCAACAATGCATACCAGCCCAATACAAACTCTGGTGGGAATTTTGTACTTTTAAACCCTCTCCGTAATTATTTAGTACCTTTAAAACAAACTAAGGCATGTAATCTGAATGGGTCTGTGATTTTTTTTTTCCCCCAATAATGACTTTATTCTTAACCTGCAAATATGGGAGAATGGATGTTAGGCTGAAGAGCCTAAAGCTAATCATTGCTTTCAAGAAAAGAGTTTATGTGCATTTGCAAGACGGACACTAACAAAACTGCTAATGAATTCTGGTATTTTCAGCTGTCTCTTCCATTTGTAAAGTTCTACCCCTGTATCTTTTCCAGAATTCACATGTTCACAAAGGAAGTATCACTTTGTATTACATTAAAACACAGATTTAAAGTCAGTAACATCCATTCAAAAGCAAGTTTGTGGCCAAAAAGTGGAAAGCTCTCCTCTTAGAGATGTAATCCACTGTGGGAAAATAATGGAAGATTGGTGAGGAGGATTGTCAACACACCCAAGTGACTTGCCGCTAGGGTGTTGAAAACCACATATATCATACTAATCATTCTTTAGTCTTGTATGCTTGACAAGTAGAACATCCATTATAACATAGGCCTGTGACAGACTCCGAGCCACCCTAACTATCGTACATGCTCAAGATTCCTGCCCTGCTGTGGAAAAGAACAAAGCACAGTGGTAAACTACACCTGCACAAATCCCTGAAAAACAGGCAAAACCAGCAGGTTCAGAGATCCTCTAGCAAGGACTGAGCTCCGCGATGCCTGCATCCCTGCTTGCGTGCCGCTGCTGGGGTGCTGCTTTGAGGATCCCCCAGTTCACGAGGTAACGAAAATAAAGTTACTCTTTGCATTTCGTCTGTGGTTCTGTGGTTGTTCCTGCAGCCTACCTGTGTCAGCTCACACATCCACCTACAGAAGAAAAATGGGAAGCCTCCCTGCCATTTATTTACTCCTATGACAAAAATAAGAACCACGTGGTTCAAGAGACAGAATGGGGGAAAAATACGTCCTGTTTTAAAGCTTTAAAAAATGCTCTAAGATACCGTTATTTATAATTTGTCAGATGCAACTTACAGCAGTGAATAACAGTGCAGCCTGCCAGCCAAGTAACCACTACTCCAAGCTCCTTCCCCCAGCCTCTTTTACATACCCACAGGTGCACAGCTGACAGATGCACTTCTTCAAGGATGGAACTACATGCAAAGGCACAGGCTATATAGGAGGCATTTGGCAGACCCCCCCCCCCCCCAAAAAAAAACCTACAAAAACAAACAACCACCCCACTCTTCAGCAGCAGTCCTGAAAGACAGGTCAGAAGATGAACTAGGAACCTCCAAAAGCAAGGACAGAGCACACAAGACTGGTACAGACTGCACCACACATCCCACCTGACCGGCTCCCTTCCTGGGGCAGCATGCCCAGGTTCCGTTCCTCTGGTAGTGTCCCAACCAGAGCTCTGTGGTCCTGCTTTCAAGCCTCTTCTGACCAGGACATGAAAGCCCTGACAGTCACTTGGGGAACCTTTGTGAAGTCACCAGCACCAAGCTCTACAGCCAAGTCTGGAAGGAACATGGCTGGGCTTGCTCCACACAGCAATAGCCAAGGGCAGAGCTTCCAATTCTCTAGCTGTTTGACCATGATTAGATCAATATCTAAATGGACTGTTAAGAAGCACTTCCCCCTTAGCTGTTTAACATGTTAGCAGCCACATTCCAGCTTCCACAACCAGCCAAATAAAAGACTTTCCCTAAAGCTTGTAAAATTCTGCTTTATAAGGAAGATGTCAAATACAGGTGGAGATTCTTCTTAAAACCTATTCACAACTGTTTGGGAAGAAAGAAGGAGAAAGACGTACCAGAACAGAGGAATAACTTTATTTAGCAATGCTTCAAAACTCTGTAAACACATCAGGTTAGGGGTCAATACTTTTACAGTGAGACGTTCATCTGCTGTAACCTCAACTTTCACATTCCCACCCCATCAGTTACTTACATCACAACGCCAGAAACGTATATCAACTATTTGAAAATAAAGTGGTATTAACACTACCACAAGTCATAAATTTTTACAACTTTAGGCATATTACTGCACAAATGTTCTACACTAAAAAAAAAAATACACACTTCAGTGGAAGTCTACAAAAAGAGAGCAGCCTCTATCAACAGGTAGAACTGATGGCAATATCAACCAGAATTCTCAGTGAGAGAGAAGAACCCAATGAACGTAGAGCACCAAGTAAAATTTGGGGGCGGGAGGAGGCAGGGAATTAGGGGCAAGATAGAGACACCAAGGATTTCACTACTTCTCATTTGAGACTCTGTTTTTCCAACATCTGCTATTTTAAAGTCATCTACTCAACATCTATTTTAAAAAATATGCTTAAAAACAAATATATAGTTCTGTACATAAATGATGGGCTGTACATAGAACACCACTATGGATGACATGAAATTGGAAGAACCGGAGCAGGCAACTGACACTCTTAAACAAGGAGACTGGAATACAGCCTCCACAAAAAATAGAAAGGAGTGCAACTTCTCCATCTAGGCAGTGCCTGGAGAAGATGCTACACGCCCAAGTGAACTGCAATTGCGCTGCTATGGTTATGCTTCTACTGCACAAATTCTATCCTGATGATGGTTCCTCTGCGCCCGACTTCTCATTCGACCCCTCTTTCTCTGGAAGAAAAAGTGTATTAGTCAGCACTCTATAATATTCAATTAATTGACAGAACTACTGCTTGAAAAGTGTTTGGCATGTATTAAAAAAAAGCATATACAAAATGGTACTTCCAATTTTGGTAAGTGTTCCAAGTAAGGTACAATCATCTGCTATCAGTACAGCCACAATTTTAAGCAAAAGCTAAACTGCAGCAAGCCTTTGCACAAAGTTTAGATCTCACTATTCCTTGAGACTAGCTTGTTGTGTTAAATTCCTAGTACTCCATTAAATACCCTCTGTTTTGGTGAAAGTCTTCTGTATAACCGTTACTGCCTCATTTTTATTAATGCATTTCAAACTAGCTTTGCGAATTCTCAAAACTCAACTTCAGATTACTCCATTGCTAATGCACCTTAAGGCTTTGTTTTTTTCTTTAGTAGCTGCACATTACCTCAAAAAGTCAGATGAGCACCTTTCCTCCTACTTGCAAGATCTTAATACAACAAAAGGAAGCATGTTTCCTTCATTTTTATGTCTCATCTTCCATAAGGAATAAGCATGCAAATAATCCATATCCCTACACTTCCACAGCAGGGTTCAGCTACTCAGAGCAGGTTATTTATAGTAGCATACCCAGTGGCAGAATGGACAAAAGCTTGTTGCTACAGTAGATAGACACTTACGCTTCAATTTTTCCATTAGGTCTAATGGGATTTCATGTATCCTTGATGCCATCTCCTGTAGATGTTGACATGATGCCAGCAACAGGGAGTATTTTCTTTCATCAAGAGGCCTTGGCGATGATGTCTTGGTAAATTCTTCATCCAGTTTGAAGAGTTCTAGAGGACTGCACAATCCATCTCTTCCTCTTTTTTCTGGTGCAAGACTTCGGTCTGATCTACCACTTACAGTTTCATCTCCATTATGCGTTTGATGCAGCTCCTCTTCACTTCCAGAGGCAGTCTTTTTCAGCTCTTTATGCACGTTTAAGAGGGACTGTAGATCTAGCTTTGATTTTTGAATATCCTCCTTATTTTCTGAACCACCTGTTACACTTGCGCCTTCTACTACATCAAAATCAGACTCTGAGCTTACAGATTTGTCGAGATCGGTGAGATCAAGAGATTTTGGCAGTGTCTCATCCAATATCCCCACGTAGCCAGTTTCAGAACTAACAGAACTTAAGAATGGAAATAAATTTGAGTGAAGCATCCTATCCACTAAGGAACCCTGAAAGTGGTCTGAAGGCAGAACATTTGTTACATTATTGTTTTCTGAACAAGTATCTGGAGTATTCACGCTCTTATTTACATATTGAAAAGTCTCTTCTTCTGAATCTTCTACAGCACTTTTGTTCAAAACAATACATTTTAATTCCTGTGCTTCAGTTCTCTCACTCTCTTGCTTTCCAGATGTTTCTGAAACTGGAGATTCAATGATATGACTTAAGCTCATCTGCTCTTGAGGTCTAAATTCTGTAGAACTTACTTGGGACTTCCTGTCTGACAAGGGAGGATCACAGTCGGGTACAGGAGATGCAGGGATGGAGCACATGAATCTAGAGTATGCAGGCTTCTGCATTATAGGTCTAGCACCCATTGGAGCTTCTTCTAGCATTACCTCAGTTGGGGCCAGCTCTGTGTCTGATGAGCCCTCAGTCTCAACAGCTTTTGTCCATGAGCTTGAAATTTTAGTAGCTAAATGAAACAAACCATTGTAAAATTTTAGTACTTTCAAACTCTCAGTCAATCTGTTCTTCTATCCCTTCAGTAACAGAAGCATCATGGTTTAACCCCAGCCAGCAACTAAGCACCATGTAGCCGCTCGCTCACTTCTCCTCCCGCCCACCACAGTGGGACGGGGGAGAGAATTGGGGAAAAGAAAAGTAAAACTTGTGGGTTGAGATAGGAACAGTTTAATAGGACAGAAAGGAAGACAATGACAAAATGACAATGACAAAATGACAATGACAAAATGACAATGACAAAATGACAATGACAAAATGACAATGACAAAATGACAATGACAAAAGAATTGGAATATACAACACAAGTGATGCACAGTGCAGTTGCTCACGACTGGCTGACCAATGCCCAGTCAGTTCCCAAGCAGCGATCCACCCTCGCCATCTCTCCCTACTTTATATACTGGGCATGACATCACATGTTATGGACTATCCTTTTGGCCAGTTTGGGTCAGCTGTCCTGGCTGTGTCCCCTGCCAACTTCTTGTGCTCCTCCAGCCTTCCTGCTGGCTAAGCATGAGAAGCTGAAAAATCCTTAACTTAGTATAATTATTCTCATACTTAAGTCAAAACATAACACTATACCAGCTACTGTTAAGAAAATTAACTCTATGCCAGCCAAAACCAGGAAAACAAGCAATCCAAGAAGGAAGATGTATAGCCGCTTCATACTGTTTACGCTTAGGTTTTTTCCTCAACACAAAGGGGATTCTACACAGGAAAAAAAAAAGTTTAATCAAATTCACAGTATTCATATTGTGTTAGGCCTACATCTTACTGGCCTACTATGCTGTATTACAGAGTGAGCCATTATGGTAACTTGCAGCTGCACTGAAATAATTATCTTTTTCTTCCTGTGTGACGTGCGCAAGGTCAATGAACTAATCGCATTTCCCATCAATGAGTATTATAAAAACAAGTGGTTTAGACTTACGCAGATTTTCTGGAGTTCGGGGAATTGTTTTCCTTACTAAAAATGGGTTAAAAGACAGTGAGCTTATGAGATCTTCTAATGCCATGCCTTTTCCTTCACCATTCTGAGGCGACTCAGATACCACTGACTTTGCAACCTGTAGGATGTTAGAGAAGGGCAAATCCTGAGAAAGCAAGGTTACAACCCCTTTATTTCTGTCACTTACAGCTCAAAATAAATCCCATTCTTCAAACGATCGGAAGAGTTTGGAATCTCCTGACTACTCTTCTGCCATTTACTACATAGGCTCACAATGACCACAGTGTCCTACAAACACAAAATGAAGATAGGGGACTGAAATCAGAATTCAGTTCTAAGTTCCCTCATCATCTACGAATCCATCTTTAAAATAAGAAAAATGTGCTCAGATAAATAAAATGTATTTAAGACACTAGTCAAGACCTGCATAAGCATGAAGACTAGAGCTATATTTACACAAGTAAAACAGTTTAGCAGATAAAAATTAACTGTACCATTTCAGTGAAAGATGCAACCTACTTTCCAAATCAAGCTGCGGCACATTTTACAGTAACTCTTGTGAAGGAATTCCTCAGTTAAATCTTAAATAAAATACCCAGAAGAGGAAATACTTAAACTCCTGCTTAAAATTCTCAAGCCCCTCTTAAATATTTAACCTGCATAACTTCAGAAACAAAAAGCACTACTGACTTCTTCAAATATGCAGTGGCTCATAAATTAAGGTATGAGAGGTGACAAAAATCATACCATGATTCTACTGAAAGTGCTATTCACTTCACCATCATTTTAAGTATGACAGCTGCAAAAGCCCCATACTTTCAGGATGTACTTACTTGGGCAGTCACCCCTAAAACTCAGTGACACAGATTACTATCCAGCAGAAAAAAGTAACTTTTCACATATGCAGATTACAAGAGGCATTTAATGATATAATGAGTAATTTGTTCTCCGAACTTAATGACCATTTATTTAAAAACAAACAAACAAAAAAATTTTTCCTAACCTCTTCTGCCAGTTCATCTCTGGCTTTCTGAAGAGGGTCTTTTTTAACAGGAGACTCTGTCAGGAGAACACAATCACCTGCACTCTCCAATACTTCTGAAATGGCTGACTCATCCTTTCCATTTTTTAAGATATTTGGAGGCTCAGGCTTTTCTTCCCACTCACACATTTCACTATGCAAGTTCTAGAAGAATACACAGGAATTATTAGAAGTTTTAAACTCAAGTGTCAAAAAATTAGCATGAAGAAACTGCTGTACCAGTTCTGAACAGCAATGGCCTTAGCGTTTAGTCAATAAAAATATTTCAGTCTCAAATTCTAAACACAAAATATTTTTACAATCATATTTAAAGTAGGAGACAAGTAGTGGCTAGGATAGAGTGTTGCATAGAACACAGGTGACCTATCCACAACTACCTTGAATGCAGTACAGTGAACAATTGTGCATTGGCCAACTGTACATCCAAGTTGCTTTTAGGCCACTTTGTAACCCTTAAGTTCAAACACAGCTTAAAGAAACATCAAAGTCTGACCACTGCTCACACCAAAAAAGACTGTTTCAGCAAGCAGGGTATCAGTGACACACTGTATGTTGTACTGGAAGTCAGGTGCAAGTGCACCTACTTCCTAGTGTCCTTGCCTAAAGCTTAATAAAGTCCCTGACAGATAGCTCTAACAGTTTTACAAGACTGACTCAGATTTGTGAAAACAGCACTTTAAAAAACTAAACCAACAACAAAAAAAGACCTCCCACCCCCCCAAATAATAAGTCTAGCTTTCAATCAATGTGAAAAGCAAATATCCTAAGTTTAACTTATTTGACAGGCAGGAAATTACTGAAGAACAACCTTTTCAATTACCACATCTCTGTTTTCAGATGCTTTTGACAACTCCAAAGGCACTGAAGAGATCCTTGGGGCAGTGGTGGAGATGAAGGGGGATAAAAAAAAAAAAAAAGAAAATTTAGAGACAAATAAAACAAGTGGCATGCAAATCTTAGTAGCAAGCCATTACATATTGTGTGCCCCGTATCTGTCCGTTACGATTTCCCTCAATTCGTCCCGGTCATCAGAAGGCAATTTTACTATAGGGAGAACCTGTGACAACTAGAGCAGATGTAGCCCTAGTTATGTATCAGCCTCCCAAAATTAATAAATTACAAAACTTTTCTCTTGATCACCAAATAGAAAAAGAAGGGATTTTGTGACACATTTTGTAAACAAGTCTTCTGTATTCTGCAATCAAAGATAACTGGAAAGTCTCCTGTGGACTTGACAATGTTCTTTTCCTTAGATATTCTTCCTCTGAACAGCCTCTGGCATCCACAGGTCTTTTCCTATATGAACTTACTGACATTTAACAATCACCTAGCTACCAAAAGCTTCAGTCTTATCACTTCTGACAAGTGTAGTGCTAATTGAATAGCTCTCTAAATTGTAAGGTACATTCCATGCTTCTTAGGGAGAACACGCCTTAAAACATTACTATTTGCTATTGTCTGTCTTCAGAATCAGAAGCAGACAAAAATCCATGCTGCATGAAGTCACTGAGAGAAATCCAGGCGTTAATTGTCAACTACTTGGACAACCTTTGAGACTTGCATGCAACTACATCTACTGACGTCTAAGTATAGGGCAGCCTTCCTTTGCGAATTCCCTTTCTCTCCTAGTAGGCAACTTTCAAGTATCTGTAGGACTCCTGTTATGAAATACAGTGTTATTCAAAAGGTCATGAAGCCTTCCTGAACTAAGTAAATGACAAACAGGCTAAAACTTTTTGGAATACCATTGTTTTGTGTTCTGTCCTTTGCTGGAACTGCAGTTAGAGAAGTTACAGAACAAAGTGATTTCAGAAGATTCAGGAGAAAAACCTTGTCAGGAAGGTTTAGCTAGCACAGTAATTCTGCTTGGCAGTCAGGGGGTTTTGTTTTGGTTCAGTTTTAGTTGTTGGGGTTTTTTTAAAAAGAAGGGCTCCTGTGAACGTCTGTTCTTTTATTCTCAGGCTATACTGAACATACATGCCCATCTCAACCCAGAATTCTCCATTTTCTCCACCCACCTCTTAAAGCTTGAAATAACGTAATTAAAAAGTGAGATAAAAACCTTGCAGCTTGGCTGCTGCACATCCTATTCAGCAGCAACCAGCTGATCTATCAGTCACCAGCTGGAGAAAGTGGCAGTTACTTTAGGACTATCTTACTCAATCAGGTCGGTGTGACATGTAAGCAGTGGGCTACTGAAATATTCCACTAAGGATCAAGAGATGCAATATATTCAACTCCAATAAGTAAATTTCTATCTTTTCCACTGCTTTTTTATCAATTTCTCATTAACATCATACCATCCTGGTGGTGGTTCCGAATCATCTGTCATAGTTTCCAATGCCTCAGCATCTTCCTGGTAAGGTACTTCATGAACAGAGTCAAAAACATCTAGAAAAGCAAGTCAAGAGTTTTATTACTGCTTCCAGTTTTTTTGCTTCAACTTCCCAGGTGACACAAGATTCAGACCACTTCTATAGACTATTCAGGGGATGGACTTTATGAACACTTGAAGAAAAGTAAATTAATACATAAGCAGGACAGGGGAATCAATCCTTTTGCTCAGGTACCACCTGCAGCCACAGATGCCACTAGCAGCCAGCACCTATTTGTGTTGTTCCTGAACACGTTTGAGAGGGATGATGCTACCTGCTGCCCTGCACATATCAATCATTCGTTCCACCTTCGTCCAAACTGCAATCCCAGCCACTTGTCATCATTATACCCTCCCTCTCCACACATGCATCAATTGCGTGGCACATCAGTTCCACAAAGCAAAATCCCACCCACATTTTCCCCACCATCTCCACCTGCATTTATCAATAAATCTCTCTGTGGACATACTCATCCCTCTAATCAACATTGTCAGCCCCAGCAAGGCAAGGCACACTATAAGGAAATGTTTTGCACATTATCAGAGGTCTGCATACCTCAGCTCAGGACTCTCTAGAACAAAAAAATACCAATTTTGGTACATCATTCGGATAAACAGCCAAAGTCTAATATCAGTAGTCCTCTACTAACCCTAAATTTCAGCTTCCGCAGCACAAATGGCACTTCCTTTTGTATTCAACGCAACACCACCTCCAAAATCCAAGCTCACTTCAAGAAGTTCAGTGACGTTAACTTTTTTTTTTTAAAGCTTACCATGTTAACAGGCAGAAAGTTAGTTTTCTTAGCGGCTAGTTTCACAGATCAAGCATCTTAACCACAGAGCAGAGAGAATGCCACAGACATCAGTTTGTCTCAAGCTTTCTAGTATTACCAGAAGCTCAGAGCATTATTGCACAGTGCTTCAATCTTTGAAATTTTTAAGGCAAATGACCTTCCATTTGCAATTCTGTAGCCTTTCCTTTATGGCTTCTAGACTTAAACCCACATACCCTCAGACTGCTATAGCAGTGCTTTCACCTTTGTAACCAAAAGGATCTTCTCCCTGTTGCTCTGCACCTTGAAGTTCCTACACACTTCTGCTATGTCTTTCTTCCTAAAAGGGACTGCAAATGACATATGATTCAAGCTGTCTTCCCCCTCCTTTTCCACCCTTGCTTTGTAGCTTCTAATTTATAACTCTACACTAGGGACAGTCAACACCTGGCCAACAAGCACTACCCAGTAAAATACAATCAGCTCACCAGCTGATTAGCATGTGCAACATACATGTCCGATCAAAGTGACCTCTGATCAGCTCTATTAAGCTAATGACTGAAAGCAATCAACACAGAGATCAAGTAAGGTCCTGATCAAATAGCATAGTTCCTGTGGAATAAGTATTTCCGAATGCACCAGGGAAAGATGTTTACCTGGGAGGACACATTCAATTTCTTTTCCCAGCTGGCCAATGGGAAAAGTTTTAGCTTCTTTCTCTCCTTCGTATTACACCTCCAACCTGAGGCAACTTTTACTGTTAGAGTGAATGTATTCTCTACAAGCCATTGAGTGAACCTCTGTACACAGAAATCTGTCTCAACATGCTTCATGCAACAACAACAAAATACCAAACAGCTCCAGCATTGGGTTTTTTGCCATATCAAAAGCTTCAGAGAATCTTTGAGATACCACAAGGTTGAAAAATGTAAGGCAAATGTGGCAAGGGGTCACGCAGAACCAGATTATCAGAGACTGTCAAAGATACTTGCAAACTCAAGCAGGGAGTCTTTTCGACTCCAAGTAACTTTTAACAATTGGGGCAGGGGGGGAAGGCAGGGGAAGGGAAAGAAGCTTCTCCTGTTCACTGACCTGAAAGTGATACTCGATACTGAGAAAAGATGTTATCCTTATCATCCTCTTCTGCAACATTAGAAGAATGGGGTGACAAAGCCCCTAAAAAATCCTGAAGTTCCTTTCAAAAGAAAACAAACAGTAACAGAAGCAGGCTGAAAAAAATCTGCATATCAACAGCAATTAACAGGCAATTATTTACAACAGCTGTTCTGCAAACCAGCTGTCAGACTCAACACAAAATTTTTCCTCTCTCTGCTGGGTAGCTAGGCAAGGGTATAACCTCAGATCCCTGTACCAATGTGAATGTCAGAATGGAAATGATTGTTCATTCATCTGGCCGATCACTTTAAAAGGGAAAAACAGAACTCAGCAGATGTTTAGACTGACGGCACACAAGAGCTCAATTTCCACAAGGGGACAGACATGGACAAAACCAAAGCCAATCAGCTCGCTCTTATGCTGATTTACTGTCTTGACAAGATGGTTCCATACCCCATCTCAAATGAAGACACCAGCTGTCATTAAGTCACACATATCTTCTTTAAGACAGACTACTTCATAAAGCAATTTCTGCTATACTGTGCTATCTGATTCCCTAATCTTACATACAAAGCTTAAGTGTTGCAATAGAACACACCAGCGTAGGTGTACATGCTCTCTCACCTTCACCCTTTCTCTTTCCCAGAATCAGATAAATTGAACACTACTTACTAGATCCTGAGCCAAGGCTAAATTAAAAGGACATAGGCCAAGAAAGCTCTTCCACTTCTGTTCCCAGCCTTCTTGTTCTTTAGAAATCGACCCACTCACTGACATACAATGCTGTTGCTCTGCTTCTAGCCTGTAACATAAGAGCATGGAAAACAAACACAACACATCTGTTGGTGGAGACAATTCTGCATAAAGATGGAGAGTATTATGTGTTCCCCTCATCCTGCAAAATCTTTGATATGTATCAACTTATTCATGCACCAAGAACTAACTGAAACAACCTAAAAAGCAGCTGCTAGGTAGTCTTCACATTTCTTACACTAGAACTGGAGGAACTATACTAAAATACATAACAGACAATGAGATACAGACTTAAACTTTCCCTAAGCCAGTTGCAGATAATGTTTTAAAATCCCAGAACTGATGAACATAACAAGAAGAAAACCATAAAAATCAGATCAGCTAGCAAACAAGGTCCCCATGAACAAAGCCTGAAGTGTTAACGAAGCAAGGGCGTCGTGGTTTAACCCCCGCCAGCAACTAAGCACCACACAGCCACTCACTCACTTCCCCTCCCCCCTCAGTGGGATGGGGGAGAAAATCAGGAAAAGAAGTAAAACTCATGGGTTGAGATAAGAACGGTTTAATAGAACAGAAAAGAAGAAACTAATAAAATGACAACAGCAATAATAAAAGGATTGGAATATACAAACAATGTACAGTGCAATTGCTCACCACCTGCTGATTGATGCCACCCGTTAGTCCCCGAGTGGCGATCCCCCCACCCCCCCCTCCCCCCAGTCTCTATACTAGATGTGACATCACATGGTATGGAATACCCCTTTGACCAGTTTGGGTCAGCTGCCCTGGCTGTGTCCCGTCCCAGCTTCTTGTGTCCCCCAGCTTTCTCGCTGGCTGGGCTTGAGAAGCTGAAAAATCCTTGACTTAGTCTAAACACTACTTAGTAACAACTGAAAACATCAGTGTGTTAGCAACATTCTTCTCATACCTAACTCAAAAAACATAGGACTCTACCAGCTACCAGGAAGACAGTTAACTCTATCCCAGCTGAAACCAGGACAAAGGGCAAAAAGCTGAAGTTACCTAGAGAAGAATCTCAGTTAAAAGTTATATAGACAATCAAGACAAATGTGAACTTCCCAGAGGCAAAGGAAAGATTGAACCAACATGTTCTCACTATAAATTATATTATTTTAGAAAAGACTTCAAGGCAGGAAGACATGATCCTTAGACTGAAGAACAGGGAACCAGAGAAAATTTCCAGACAATTACCTCACTGCTACCAAACGCTGTAGTACTTCATTGCAGAGCACACTCCTATCTTCAATGGCCTGAAGTTGTTTTAAATCATATTGACAATGTTCATCTCTCAACATCCTCAGGGCTTCATTTAATAACTGAATGACTGTTAAGAAATTCAGTTTTTCAGCTTCATACACGCTTCCTGTACACAACTTGAAGTATAGCAAGCAAGAAAAAAAGAATTAGTGAACAGCATCAATATCAGAAAGTTTTGTCTTCCCTAGTCAGAGCAAGGATACAAAGTTCCACTTTGTATTTTGATTAAGTTCCCAATTGTTTCATTTTTCAATAAAAAAAGCTCTCTAGATTTAAGCCTCAGGTTTGTTTTCTAGAATCAGCTGCTTGAAAACAGCCTATAAAGCAATACAAACTAAGAACAGTTCAACTAATGAGGTATTCTGTTGAACCACTGCCCCAAAAGATGCGGCAGGCCTGAACAGCACCATATACTACACACTGGAAACAAAAGCCCATTAGTTAAAGCAAGAGTTAAACTGGTCAACATAGTTTTAAATGTCTAAACAACAAAAAAATCAGGCACTAATTAGGCAGACTTACGAAGGCAGTTATCAAACTTAAAAATGGTTGAAACATAACCATACAAACCAGCAGCATAATCACAACAAACTTTCACATACAAATTAGACATATTTTCTCTATCCTTGAGCAACCACCTCCTATCATCCGCGAAGTCCTTTTTTTAAAGGTATCTAATTACAAACCTGGGGACTGAAAAAAACAAACCAGAGTTTAGCAAGAGGGACAAAAATTACTTACTTGCTGTATGTCACTTTCAACTCTGTGAGCCAACAGCCATGGAACACTGAAAGCAACATTAGTTCCATCTAAAATGCACTGACCAGCACAATCTTCAAGTACAGAATCCACAGCTTCCTTTTCCTTTTTCAGAGATGTAAGCATTTCCATTATAAGTGTCCACATACTGCGGACCTTAACAGGCAAGACAGACAAAAACGCTACGTTAAAATGTTTGCCATAATATCTATAATGACGGAGTACCAAAACAGCGTAAAGGCAGATGAAGGGACCTGCATAATCGCAGGCAGGCAAGTGGTAATAACAGTATCTGAGATTAAGTGTTGCAGAAACGTAAGAAGAAATACAGTACGATGCCACAGCAGAAAAAAAAACACTCACCTTTTCAATTCTCTCAGTTCTGTCATTTTTAGTTTGGTCATTTTGTTTCATCCTATATGCACATGCAAAACAAAAGTTCAGGTGGACTACAGTGAAATTATAGTTCATATTTCATAAAACTGAGTAAGAAATCAAATTTAGATATGCTTAGTTACAAGGAGAAACACTTACTTCTGAGACTGTGTCTGCAAGACTGCATATTCAGACTTCACCTCTTCTATTTCTTTCATTAAAAGCCTAGCAAAAAAGTTAACAGCACAGATTTTTTAAAAATCCAAGTTTCTACTCTGCTGTTCTCAGAATTCCTTGCAATGACTAGCCAATCATGCTCACTCTTTCCAAATCGGCATACTGAGGCAGTTTTGGAACAATGCAATAAAAACGCATCCTTGACTTCCTCGCCATGACTTTGTGCAGAAAGACAAGCCAGGAAAGCCACCAAGATATTTATAAATTGAGCAATTAAGATTGTCACTTATTCTACTGCAAGGGAACAGCTTTTATTAGACCCAAGAACAATACTGAAGTTACTAGAAACGGACCTATCAATATACACCACCAAATATATTCAACAATTGTACAGTCCCCATATCCTTCAGTTTCAAAAAAATACAGAACAGAATACTGGAGTACAAACAGCTGACCATCGAAGTCCTTTTCCCAAAGCCAAAGTGCTTTTATTAAATTTTTAAGGATGTAAAAACACAGAGGCCTGATTTTCAGAAACACCAGGTGCCTGAATCTTGTCGAATGCATTGATCTTCTGATGCTTTGTTGAGAATGAAAAAACTACAGAATTACGTTTTTGAAGAGTACCACTCACAAGGTAAGTAAGACCACTAACACTTCCCAAGCAGGGTGAGAGGGGATGCAGAATTATAGAGATCAGAGAACCTTAGGAGATTTTGACCTCTGGAAATTATACTGTTGAGCGTTCCATTGAAAGCAGAGCCTTCAATTATATTACTCATGGCCCTGTCAAGCCGAGTCTTGAACGTTTCTAGCAAGGGAGATTCCACCACTTTCCTGGGCAACCTATTCCAGTGTTTAATTGTTCTCACATGAGATTTTTAATTTTTTTTAAATCCAGGTGGAGTTTTCCTTTGGGCCTGTTGCCTCTTGTCCTGTCACCATACATCCTTGTGAAGAGAGTACCTCCATCTTCTCTACAACTACTTTTGAGATATTGGAAGACTATGATTAAACCCCCTAAGCTTTGTCTTCCTCAGGCTAAACAAACACAATTTCTACATCTTTTACTCGTATGTGTCAAGTTCTCCCATCTTCTAACCATTATGGTCCTCTGCTACAATCTCTCCTATCTTTCAATCTCTCTCCTCAACTGGGGGGACCAAAACTGAACACAGTATCCCACGTGTGGCCTTAGAATTGCCAGGTAGAGTGAAATACATCTTGATCTGCTGGCTGTGCTCCTTTTCATGCAGCCTAGGAGGCTGTTGGTCTTCTTGGCTACCAGGGCACACTGCTGCCTCGTGCTCAGCCTGTGGCCCAACACTACTCTCACCTCTAGTTCTTAGCAGAGCTGCTTCCCAGCCGAGAATCCACAAGCCTGTGCTGCTGTTGGGGATTATTCCTCCCCAGGCGTAGGACTTCATACCAATCTTTGTTAAACCTCACATAATTCTTGCTGGGCAAGTCTCCAAACCCAGCAAGGTCTCCTCATTCTGTGCAATAGCTCTTCATCCCAGTATATCTACCTTTCCTCACAGTTTGGGATCATCTGCAAGTTTGGTTCATTTGCATTCAATACTGTCATCCATATCCCTTATGAAGACAAGAAATAGTTTAAGACACAGTAGCAACCCCAGAAGAATTCCACTCATGATCACCTACCAGCTAAGACTTTGAGGTACTACCACACTTTGGGCTCACCCCTTTAGCTAGCCTTCTACCTTTCCAAAGGTGACACAGCAATTCTGTTAAGTATCTCTACACCCTTGGATGCATTTCATCAGGTAGCAAAGGTTTGTCTATGTCCAGTTTATACACATGAACCACCGCTGTACCCTCTTCTGCTATCAGTAGTTTGTTGCTTCCTTCATCATTGCTTCTTGGCACAGAGACTGGGCTACTGACCTTACCCCTGAAGACAGAGGCAAAGGCGGCACTGGGTGTTTCAGCCTGTGACACTTGTAACTTAACTTACCATTTCATTCAGAAGCAGACCTAAATCCTCCATTTACTTCCACTTCCTAAACAACATACCTATGGAAGCCTTTTCTCAGGCTCTTGCCACGCTCTTGGACCTTTAGCTGAACTTTGGCCTTCATAACTACATCACTGCACACCTGAGAAATATTTCTGTACTTAGGTCTGGGAGTCAGTCCCCTCTTCCATATTCCATATGCTGCTGCTTTGGTTTCTGAGCTCTATCACTAGCTTACTGTTTTAACCAGGCTGGTTTCTTGTTATGCCTGTTTCTTTTCCCACTTAAGGGGAAGGACCATGCTTGAGCTTCAGCAAGGATCTCTGAAAATATCCTAGCACTCCTGAGCCCTTCTGCTTTCCACAAGATACCTCCTGGCAGTTCCCTGGGCAAGTGGAAATCTGCTCTTTTAAGTCCAGTGTCACTACTCTTCCACTTGTCTTCCTCATGTCCCTAGGATCTTAAGTTCCACAGTCTTGGCTGCGGTGACTATAAGGCTCCTGTTGGCAGTTATATCTCCAGAAAAGGTTCTCTTACTTGTAAGCAGCAAGTTCAAAAGAGTGCCGCTCCTACTCAGCCCACCCAGTGATCGCATTGCAAAATCATCCTCAGTGCACTCCAGTTCCCCAGATTGCTAATGGACCACCATGCTGCTTTCCCAGCAAATACCAGGGTAAGCTGAAATCCTGTGTAAGAATCAAGGCCTGCAGGTCAGAGGTGTGTTTGATTGGTCTGAAGAAGGCCTCATATACCTTCCCTTGTATAGAGGGAGAGGTGTAGAGCAGACATCCACCATGAGGTCTCCCTTCATGCTAAACCCTCTGATCTTGATCCAAAGGCATGAAACACATCGGTCCTCTCACAAAGAGCTATGCTACATGCACTGAAACCGCTCGTTTACCTACAGTGCAATCCCCCTCCTTTTCTGCCATTTACTGAACAGCTTGCAACTGTCCATGACAGTGATCCAGTCATGTAAACTATCCCTCCCCGACTCTGTAAATTCCACTAATACGTAACTCTGTGCCTGCACAGAAAGTTCCAGTTACTCTTGTTTCTCAAACGGGGAATGTCTTCCATACACAAGAATAAAGAACAGCATAATTCTGGTGAAGTAATTAAGGATTATGTAAATAAAATGTGTCCCACGGTAATTAACCAAAGACCAAATGTCTCATCCTGAGACAGTTATATTCTAAGATACGGCCCTTCAAACATTAAGAAATCATAGTGCTGTACATGCAGAATTCCCTGATCATTTTTAATGCCCAAGCAACCTTATCTTCCAAACTATAGCAACTCCTAACTGAAGAACTCATTTCTTTAGACTGCTATGCTTCACAAAAGACCCCCAACAAACAGTAGAACTTTCAATTAAAGGAGGTAAAGGGGGAAAAAATGGGGAGAAGCTCAACAGAACTCATGATGTAAAGCAGATGCAGCCTCCTCAAATCCTTTTAATAACACACACACACGCACAAAAAAGCCAGCTTTTATGGAAAGACTCCAGTTCTTTAAAAGCATTACTTACTGTGCTTTTTTCTCATATTCTTGAATAACAAAAGCTTCTTTTTGAAAAATTTGCAGAAGTTTATTGTATGCAACTCTACACCTTGCATCTGCCAGGTACACATCCTTAGGTCCCAACTTCACAGCTTCAGCAAAAGGTATATCAGTGCCTAAATGGAAGTTAATGTTTGGATTACATCATTCGCTTTTAGCAAATAAGCAGCTTCCTAATCTACATAGTTTGAATTGAAAGAATCACAAATCACAATGCCCATTTTACCCGGGGCTGAAACAGAGTATGCAGTGTGCTGTCTTTTTTTGCCAGTTCTTTCTGTTGTATATTTTCACTCCCTCACTCTTGCTCCCTTTCCCTATTCTTTAGGTCACCAGAACAATACAAGATGCCTAGAATAGACAGTTCTGATCCTTCAGAATTCCTCAAGTTGTGAGAAAGAATACAGTATAGCGGTCCAATACTTGTGGACCAAACCATTGCTTGTGTGGGTAATGGTGTACAGCATCACACAAATGAACCTTGGAGCAAAACTCATAAAGCAATACAAAGCAAAACAATCTGTATTCTTCTATCAGCAGTGGGTCTACGCAAGAGCACAGAACCCTGTGAAAGATTTTGAAGTGAGCAGCCAGCTCAGAGATGCTTAAAGCTCTTGGCGTATATTAAAGACTTGACAGATTCACTGTCAAGCATGACAAATGAAGCATTTTTATTGTTCCATTACAGCTTACCTGCGGAGTTCCTTTTCAGGTCCTCAACCAGTACATATCTTGCAAACCGATAAACCAGGTGAATAAATTTAGGACCAACAACAGTAAGTGAAGAAGGTGTAACTTGTGGAAGACCGCTTTGTTTTTCCTTCTAGAAAAGTTAAATTGGTTTTAAACACAAAACTAATCTAAGAAATAAAGCCGAAACAACAGCCATCAAACATTTAGCCGAGTACCAAAACACTGCAGCCTACTCGCTAGCAAGCCTGATGCAGAGCTAAACTACTTTGCCACCACAGTTGACAGCTACTCTAGTCAGCAGAAGAGAATAAAACTGTTTGAATGTTCCGCCCCACCATCCCTATTTCTGTACACGAAAGACAGTTTAAATGCAAAGACTGAAATCAGTGTTGGGTCGATGTTAGAAATCTCTGCCCTTCTCAGTCCCAACTGGTAATCCCTACCTTTGAAAAAACAGTCAAGTTGTCTTTCATAGTTTCTACTTAAGTCCTTAACCAGCGTACTCTGTCCTGCTTTTACCTTACTCAAAGACATTGCGTTGTTGGCTTTCACCTTGCCCATTACTACTTAAAAAATAATAGCGTTCCAGTACATACAGACCTGATTTATAGAACTGTCGTTAAAAGACAGGCAGCATGAGAACTTAATAACCAATGACTGCTGAAGGAATCGACTTTGGTTTGTCTCTTCCATCAGAAAGCTCACCTTAAACTTTAGTCCCTCTCTCCACACGTAAGGAAAGACTAATGTTAAAAAACGTTTTTCAAGCATCTGAAACCACTTTCACAATAATAAACACCTTCCCAGGCAACATAAGCAAACACCTCTCGAGTTGAAGAAAATTATTCTCACTCAGAGCTGAGGAACCCTCTAGAATTCTGTTTAAGCAAATACCATTACCCAGAAGAAAGCCTCAGCAGTTTTAAGACCTAAGATTAAGCTTCTGGCATTTAAATTTCACCATGCCACAATTTTTCCTCAGGCAAGTCTAAGATAAACCGTATGAAGTAAGACACAAGGTAAAACTGAATTTTTTGGTAAAGCAACATTACTTAAAACTCTTGTTTAAAAGCACTATATATTCTCTCAAAAAAAAGAGTGAGGCCACAGAAACCAGAAGAACATCAATTTCCACTCTTCATAATACTCACTGCAATCTCTCGTAGCCACATAAAGCACTGCCTCCTAAACTGATGGTCTGCAATCTTTCCTGATGGAGCGTAACAGTGTCTTTCCATTTAAAAAGAATGGGGGAAAAAGAAGAAAAAAAAGAAAAAAGAAAAAAGCAATTTCAAAACACGTTTGAATAGTCAGTTACCTCATTAACCATTATAAGAACAAGACTAAGACAAAGATTTCTTAGTGATGCCTCCTAGAGGAGCCAGAAAATGAGGGGATATAACCTAGACCAAGAATAGCTAAAAGTTTGTTAAATGACAAGGTTTTCTTGCCATAATAAGTTAATTACAGACCATTTCAGAGACACATTCGTCTGCAGCTTTTTAACTCAGGAGAAGGGAAGGAAAAAAAAAAAAGGAGGTCAAAATGCTGACAATTTTCATGCCACTCGTCTTCCTCCAGCCATTTCTTTAAGGTGTAAGCTAAAATAGCTCAGCTATACGAGGAAAAGCATTAAAGAAGATGAGGTTCTTGCCACGTTGAAGATCCTGGCAGCAATTTGTAACTGGGAAATGTTACTCGCTGCTTGGTCATGGAAATGAATGGGAAAAGTAGATTACTGTGCAACCATTAAAGTTTTTACCAAACTTGTCAAGCGACAAATACCGTAAGAAACAACTTTAATTAAGGCAAAGTTTCTGATACGTTACAGAGTTGTGACCAAAAGGAAACAAATTCTCTGACTGCATGTTCTTCTTCCACAGCGTTCCCCAACAGGCCACTTCCCCCACCCCCCCTCCCCCCCTCAGCAACTGCATAAACCATATTCTTGATTATGTCCACAGCGGTAAGCTCACAAGGCAAACACTTACCTGAAAACTTCTGCTGTGCGGGACCAGTCCAGCTTAGCAAACAAGAAGTAGGCAATGAGACGAAACATACTGTTCCTCGGGTTACCAAAGGCGTTCCTAATACGCAGATAAACAGCTACATCAGAAGTAGTTAGGAAGCCGACTGACCTCTGCATTTTAACTGGACGCTTAGAATTACACAATACTTTATTGTAAAGCGTCACAAGCAATACCCTGAACGCTTTATTTTCTGCACAGTGAAAAATACACATCCTCCAGCCTACCTGACGAAGCTGAAGTAATTTCGGTGAGAGCGTTTTCTCTCAAAGAAGTTTTAAAACCAAGAGGTACGGAGCCAGTCAGCTCACTCTCTCCAGCTGACCGCCCGGGACGCATCAGTCGGCGAGCAAGAGTTACTACCCTTTCTAGGTTTCCATTTCTTCAGACACAGCCAACACCGGCCACTACTGCAATTCGGGCATTTCCTCTGCGTCACGTATCGCCAAGGGCACCAGGCCCCCTCGGCGGCGGCGGTGACCCTCCTCTTGCGGCGTGCGCTCCTGGGTGAATCCCGCGCCGCACAAGGGCCTCCCTTCTTCTTCTTCTTCTTCTTCTTCTTCTTCTTCCTCCTCCTCCTCCCCTCCCCTCCTCCCCCGGCTCTCCCCCACACTTACCCTTGCAGTAACACAACGCTGTCCTGAGACTTCGGGTCGAAGCCCAGGGCCAGCATGTAGAGCCAGAAATGGTCGCTCTCCCGGCTCATAGTGCCAAGCAGC